AAGAGGCGATGAAAATCCAAGTACCATTACGTGCCAGTATGAAAAGCATGAAAACAGAGACGATGGCTACAAGTCCAAAACGAAACAGAGTAAGAAGCGTGTGGAATCGCATCCATAAAAGCAGACCGTACCATTCCCTTCTTCCTCTCTCTCCCCCATCCCCCAGAATAGACTTAATTCCAAGCGCATTTTTTCATGACGAGAGATGTGCACGGAAGCAAGAGAAACTCGCCATCGTGATTGCTCAAGGAGAGTCCCATCGATTTCGTTACATCACGGCTACCTCAATCTATATTCGAGTCTACGAGTAAACGTGGGGCAATCCTAAGAAAACACAGAAACAGCGTCGCTGGCATAGGGGAAAAGTTCCATTTCAGTATTTATGGGGTAAATGTCTCGATTTCGTGTTCTTGCGTACTCGTTGTCAACTTTTGATTTATTCGGAGGGCGTAATGAGATTTTTACAAGCTGTAAATATGAGGGGAGAAGAGGACATTAGATCGAAAGGCATTTTGCCACCCTACAAGTTTTATCCAAAATTCACAAGTACAGATACTTTCACAAAAGACGCACGTTCATGATTGGCGAATCTGCTTTTACCCTTGTCACCAAAACTGAGAACTAAAGGAGAAGACATGATGGAATGTGTGGATTCTCCAAAGGATGTGACCTTTGGGTGCCCCTCCCCCCCATCCCTGCTACAACTGCACATATAGAGCGCTTCATGCGCCTTCAACTCGAGCAAAAAATGTTTGGAACAACCTTCCTACGAAGTGTGGGATTTTTTCAATACCCTATGGACTGAACGCAGTCAATTTAAAAAGATCCATAGGCCACCTCAGAACAAGAACTTCTAGACCCATTTCGATAAGCGTGGCACCCATAAACTCGCCTCACGCAAATGTTCTCTCTGCATGTTACAATAACTCCACACAGAAACAAACAACCCCCTCCCCCGACATGCCTTGTTGAGTGTCAAGTATATTTAGGGCCGTCACGAGGACAGTTTAGAAAAACGTCGACGCATCGACATGGTAGATCATTGATTAAGGTTCCCAACCTTTCCGGTTTGACCGGGAGATCCCCATTAGAGAAGCCCGAAGCCTCCCTGTACAAACAGGAAAAGTTGCCAATCGCAAAATCGAAACACGAGAGAACGGAAATTCCTTGGACGGGAAGCCGGATGCATGGAACCCACAGCCTTGAGGGGGGCGTGGAAGGCTCGTCGGCCCCGACCTCTCCCTCCTTCGAGGTTCAAGGCTGGATGGTGCCGAAAGGCATTTTGCCCATTATTCATTTCTTTGTTTTCTCTGTGGGGGTGTCCCATCAGTACTTGGCATAATTTACACACCCGCGAGGTATGGGCGCCCTTAAAAAGGGCTTTTTGGCTAAATAATTTTTTCCCCAGAAATTGGCAGTTCTGTAATTTGTGCTCAACCTACAGGAAGTCAGGATAGAGGGGGTTTACGTCGGTCACGCAAAATATTAATCAATACCTAAAGGGCTATGCAAAAGTAAGTTCCCCCAAATAGGAGCATACTTCATGCCGATTGTGACCATATTCATGACCCACAGCAATCACGCTCAAGCTTAAGGATTGTTACTATCCCAGTATTCTATACTTGTCGTGTGTCAACATTTTGGCAATACTGTGGTGAGGTGAGTGCATACACAAAATAGAAACTTCCATATTTGGGAGCCTATCATTCCTACCACATCAGATGTTGAAACGTGCTACTTTGCAGTCATGGAGGGTGACCACTTTGCCATTCCAAATGTGATCATCTCCAGAAGCACAATCACCATGACTCAATATAGGTCTGGGATGTACGATTCGCCTGGGTGCTAGGGTTAATGTATCAAAGCTGATAATTAGGAGTTTAGGTGTATGGGATGCAACTCAGTCATGGTTGTCAGGTGATATAAATATCATTGCTGTTCTCAGGTCTATTGCCTTGATACATAGCAATCAACTGAATGGTTTTAATGCCAAAGATGGGCATTCAAGCTTGAAACTCACACAAGCTAGTCCCTTCCTGCATATTCAACTTAGGATCCAAGATGAGTCCCAAAAAAATATTAATTTTAATCAAGTTAAAATACATGGTGGTTAAGTAACAAGCACAAGTACTAAATTTAATCAATATAGCAATATTGCTATAAAAGTAACATTTTGTGATGCAAGAGGTATCAATGATGATGCCTACCAAGACTACAAGGCAAATGAGGCCAACTGGTGTGAGATTGTAATTTTTAGAAAGGCATGACACATGTCTTCACTTTCTCTTGAATTATTCACATACTGATATTGAAATGGGAGCTCTCAGAGTCAAGTGCAATAACCACCAATGCAACGAGAAAAGATTGGGTATTCTAGGCCAGCTGGACATGCACTTTCAGGTCACTCAGAAAATAAGCTGATTCAAACAAACAGTTTGAGATATTGTTATCTACAATTTCAAACTTTCCATCAATCTGAGATGATCTTCACATCATACTCTCTGGAATCTTTGACACTGTGCCCATGGTTTTGAAAGATNGCACTTTCAGGTCACTCAGAAAATAAGCTGATTCAAACAAACAGTTTGAGATATTGTTATCTACAATTTCAAACTTTCCATCAATCTGAGATGATCTTCACATCATACTCTCTGGAATCTTTGACACTGTGCCCATGGTTTTGAAAGATATATATTTCTCGATTGTATGATGGGTACTTTATACTGTTAAACTATAATAATAGGTTGATGAACAAATCAAGTGGTCTTCTCACAATACGTAATTTCATTTAATGTCTTACGCAACAATTTCTAAAATGTGTTTGACCTGGGAACAAATAACACTACAGAAAACTAGGTCTCAAAATTCCTTCAGTTCTAAATTGAACAAGAATCACATGGCATCATATTTCTGCAAATAGGAAAATGAGACAACATAGAGTTAGAGTTGCCTGCAATGACAATTGACTGAAAGTAGACTGGCACAACTGACTAATCATTCTGGCCTGAACCCCACTTTTTCTTCATGTTCAGGATTGTCAGGAGTGACTCCCACCATTGAAATGGGCCCCCAGTGTTAAACATCAGTGCAATAGCATTTAGAATTGGAAAAGTTTCAATATCATATTGCTCAAAGTCCCACTCTTTTCAGGCCTCACAACTACTAGTAGTAGGACTAGAAGAGCATGGGAGCTTTGAATTCAGGACTATATCTTGCTTCTTATTTGATCTAAGGAGTCATTCAGCAACAGTGGCTGTCAGAGTTGCTATATTGCCAAGGTGAATGCTGGTTTCACACTTGAGTACAAGATGAGACACTGGAGTTCAAAACTCACCTCTGTTCTCGGAAGGTATCAGTTTTAAAACGGACTGATGAGAAACCACGAGGAATGTGGTGAACCCTAGGAAAGTTACGGTTACTACTGGTAAGGAACATCTATTTTACTAAAACTCCTCTGTGATTGATTTAGAAGAATTCTTATCTTTTTATAGTAAGCAACATAATAAAACACATGCAGCATAAAAATTACATAATTTTAAGCTATTGAATGGGCATTACTGGAAAACTACGTAACACTTCATATATAATGTTTTTCACTTGAGGCACTTGAATCAGACACATGCATGGGATTTTCTTAAGGTAGTAAGATCCCTTTAGAGCTACTTTTGACCCCAATGAAGATCAGTGAGAACAATACATCATTGGAAAGTGCAGGGAACATCTTCCATTTCGATTTCATAATTAGTATAAATTATGCTAATTAGGTACCAATATGGCCACCACAACACCCAAAGCCAAGCCATCTCTGTGCCAGCATTTCTCATGCATTAATGATTCTAAACTCATGAAACTCATACATTGATCACATATGTATTCAAGTCCTGATGGTTTCAGATTTTTGAAGAACATATATGCAAAGAATTTTCAGCTGATTGGGCAAATTTTACAGCATTTTCCACCTAAGTATGTACGCAAAACAGTGAAAAATCAGTGTATTTGGAAAACAGTTCAAAAACGCCACAACCACTCCCTAAGGATGCATTTGAAGTATCTTAGGCAAAAAAATTACTTGTGAAGGTACGAAGTTATGGCGTTTGCACTGGTGATGCGAGTGAGTCGTAAATAGTCTATCAGTTCTACAACATTTTCAACGTACTTTTTGTGAAAATATTCAATATGGATGAATGTATCCAAGGGCCAAAGTCATGGCTAGGGAAACGTTTTTCTTGATAATAATCACTAATTAACCATCTTTAAAATAATAGAGAACTTTTTCTAATTTTTTGATCACACATCAATAGAGCAATGAAAATACCATAGCCTGAACCAAATTTTGAGAAAACTATACTTTTCATGAAAATAGACTTTTAAATGGGGTGTGCTACCTTAATGCACTGGTATCTGCATAAAAGAAAAAAGCATTACTCAACTGAAAAGCACTGTAGGCAGTCCAGGCATGCATTATGTGATTTTTGCAGGACAGGCTTATTCAGGTTTATCCTGAATGTCAGGGTTTGCTGTAAGCTAGCTTAGGCCTAGACCTACGAAACTGGAGTACAAAATCGTGGCCATTCATATGAAGACTGACTTGCTATAGAAGCGCTTGGTAGCCTAGCCTAGCCGTAAGTGGCTATATCCGGCAACTTAATGTTCGGAGATTCTCCCAGGCGAGAGAAAGAACGTCAGGAATGCGCGAGACATAAAGAAAGCAGGATAAAAAAATAAAAAAACACGAATGGGACCACGTGGCTACATTGAAAAAGTGCTGACATTCCACCACGTTCTCAAAAGGACGAGAAGCATCCATGCCGACACGTGCACCTACCAACCCAAGCGCCGACTGAATCGTTCTTCCTATCCTCTGACTTTATGGCGCCACCCGACATGCGATAGAGAACGCCGCGGCACCATCACTCCTTACCTTTGCCTGCCTTCCCCCCTCCATGTACAGAACGTAACTGCCAGAAGTCCACCGCGGGTCGGTTCCGATCGACGGTGACAATGATTCACTTCGCGGAACTAGAACGGATATGAGGTAGGATGACTCTTTCCATCCGACTCAGCCTGACTCATTGAGAAGTGGTTTCATGCTTGCCTTCTCAACCAAAGGTCATCGGATATCCTGCTCGAGACTCCCCAGGTTAAGGAATTTCGGGATAAAATTCACCTTTCACTTGGGTGGCCGCAATTGCATAAAGAATGAACGGAAAGCGGGTTGTGAGAAGTTGACGACCCCTGGTTATCGACTTTCCCTTTTCTCCTTCCTGCTGGGAAATTGCATTCAAGCTCCAAGTTCCAATAATTGCTTTGCAACAGGGACAGTAGGACAACTACTTATGAATCAGCTTCATGTCACATGAGAGGAAACTTGGCAAATCATGGTGACAAACACAATTTTGACCATTTCGCCCTCGAGAAAGAAAATCCTTTTGATACCCTGCACAGCAGTTTTATTTATTTCATCTATCACATCTAAGCATGAATACAACCAGGAGCAGCATTAGCTTAATCCTCCCCTGCTAAAAAAAGTTGAAATAAAGAACCCACAGACATGTCAGATGAGAGATATAGATAAAACAGCATTCTGGCTAAACAGCAAGACATGTATACCAATGTCTTTCCACCATGAGCTTCCATCACAGAAATGCTGAAACTGGGATTTAGAAAAAGATATGTGATCACAGGCTAGGGAAGAAAGGGGGTTTCTCTCCACTGAAACCAGAAGACACCAGCATGAACTTCCAGGAAGCACAAGGCCTCAGATGTAGTGCCAGCTGCCACAAGGAATGGGCAGAATCAAATACAAAGAAATGAATCACCACATGCATATGATGGTATAAGATAAGATGGTAAGATTGCATAGGCAGTTGACCCTGAGCAGGTAAATGAGGAGAGAAGCTGGGATCATGTTATCCTCAAGATCACCATTGTGACTAGACCTGTAAAAAATAAATATAGAAAAATGCTAAAGGCCTCCAAAAATTTACATGAAATTAGCACTTTCCACAAAGGGTCCTTTTCAAAGCACTAGACACTAACCAAGAGTGTAGGCAAAGATGAGCTTCTGATTAGGAGATAGGTGAAGATAAGGTGGTAAGAGTGCCAGGAGGGAGTGTGAAGCCTGACCAGGAGAAGCAGGAGTCTCACCCTCAGTGGGGAGAAGAAGGGCAACCACACACACCACCCCAACCAAGATGGCCACCATGTTGGAACGTCCCCCTCCCCTCTCTCCCATCAATCCACCTATCAAGTGAAAACCATCTCTTCAGGATTTCTTTCCCTCTTCTATAAGAACTACAAAGATTTTATAATTTGACATGGACTGACTCAAATAATTCATTTTGATGAGCCTTACCATGATTTTCAAGATCTCAAAATTACCTCAAGAAGTGATAACATCTAAGGAATTCAACCATCAAGAATGGGTAGGGTTATAGCCCACCTGAAACAATTTGAATCATGAAAAACATGCAGCAGGGTTGAAACCAAAGTATATGAATCCATGTATATGAAGGGTATGGCAAACAAAATGCTTCTTGATTTGGAACATCTACATCTCTTTTCATACTGATGCCAGTTTGATAAAACTTGACATAAACTAAACTTTTCAACATCCATTCAGATTATCATGCAAATTTATTTCTCCAAAGCAACGTTAAAAGCAATTATTTGAAAGAAATTTAAAATTAATTATAGAAAGGACTCCAATCCATCCATAGTACTTAGACTCTACTTATTTCCTCCTCTGATGCAAAGGAATGGCTAACCCAAAACATTTCAAGCAAATTTTTTATAGTGATACCTCATGTTTTTTTTTCAGTTATAATTTGAAGAAAAAAAAAGGCTTATAAGAATCAACTGCAACAAAAAGGCTAACCTGAAGAGAGAATTTTTTTGCAAGTTCAATTCCTTTATGTTTTCAGAGCTCTAAGGGATTTCCCCCACTCAAACACCAGCACCTTTTCCTATCCATATTCAACATCCAGTTTCCCTTAAATAGGACTAAAAATTTTAATTAAATGTCACATGCCTCTTGGAAATATAGACAATCAGTGTAACTTTCATGAAAAAAGCAATAACAAGAATAGGAATTTCCTGGTTTGAGAAATGTTTTTCTTTTCTCATACCTTGTAAGAAATAATTGCATATCCCAGTGAACATATGTTATCTCCCTTTCAAAATGTGTCCCTCTTTTGCTCCTACCACATGGATTCCAAATTTTAAGTTTTATTTATTTTTTGGTTGGGAATGTCATTGCAGCATGAAAGGATAGACACATTTTCTACAAATTGTATTTCAACTGAGAAGATCTCCAAACCTATTCCTAACCGTGTGAATAGCCCAACTTCATTCCTTGGATGTAGATGGAAGAAGAGTTCATAAAAGGTGGCAAACACATATCAAGGCATAAGGATTGCTTAAAACTAGGGCACTGACAAAAATGCACATTTGGAAAATGCCTGGCCTTCTTTTTTAATGCAAGAAAAACACCCTTGAAGATAATTTTAAAAAAAGGAGCTGGGTCTGTCCACGGTGTCAGACGTGACATCCAGAGTAATATGTTTAATATACAAAATGTATTTAACTATATTATGGATGATGAATTAGCATATAAAGGCTCCAACAATTTACTTTGGGTAGTGACTGAAAATTCCATAATCTAATGTCTTGCACTACCTCTTGTTAGAGGTGTACCTATGTGTAAAGAAAAGTGTCAGACGTGACATTTCATGAACCCTCAAGTTAAAGTCACTTGCTCTAATGAGTACATATCTGTCATCAAGCGGATCCTAATAATTTAGTTTCATGTTCATTCTATAGGTTGAATGAAAGCCTGGAATTAGTGTGAGTCACCCCAATATTACAACACTTGAAACAGAAAGTAAGCCTATTTTGTTATGGTGTCGGATGTGACGTGTTCTGAAAAGGTATTTTGAAATGAGAAGTCTGCACATAATTTAAAATTTTATTTGAAAGATATCATTCAAAAGTGAATAATTGACATCTACTCTTCACATCTGAGCTGATTTGAAATTATCAGTATGCATGGAAAGCCCATGTTGGCATTTGTTCCAGTAGTCCAATTCTGTCCCTCCAGATTTGCATTTTCATCACATTTTTGTGTATCATGAGAGTGGTATGAATAATATATCATAATTATGTCTAATTTTTGTAATAATAATGTATTATTGTTATTATTAATGTTTTATTTGGAATTAATGGAAATCAATGTGTACATAGATTTCAAGACCTTTTAAGGAAACAATACTTTTTTAATGGTGAACCTGACCACATGCAATGGGTTAGGCCTATATGACTTCCTGATGAAGAGAAGTAATTAAATTTTATTAATAGTGCTAATTACACCCTGTTTAAGGTAGGCTTAGACAACTATTCTTACCAAGTTCCCTACGTTCATGGAAACGGTACTGTCTCCGATGTGGGTCAGCTGATCCCTCAAGAGCACCAAACTGGATCTCACTGTCTGTAGTTGGTTCCAGGACCTCTGGTTGCCCGGCCGTAAGTGTGGCTGGAATGTCCTTCCATCCGTGAACTTGCCGGTTCCCATGCTCATAGACGTGGATTCTAAACTTGTCAGTGATGTTAATGTGAGCAGGAGTGACAGAACTGTGTCGTACTACCAAGTCCACACAGCATTTTGCTTTGATAACACCTTCTGGGTCAACCACAGCATACTTCTTTGGTGCTGTACATAACACTGCAAGGAAACATAATCAGTCAAATTATAGCACTCGATGCGAGTCCGAAATTTAAATTTCCTGAAAGTAACCTTGTGCCACAGGCTACTTTAATTAGAATGATAGAATATGGTGCACACATACCAACTTCAAGGACTCAAACCTCCATAGGGCTACATTAGGCTATGCGTTAAACTGTGCGAAGACAGACCTTTGAATTTGAGAGGGAAGTCATATGGGTTGTAGAGTGTCAGGACTTGTTTATGAGTTGCAGTATCGTCCGTGAAAAATGTAACTGACGATGGAAAGACGAAAACGGGGAGGTGTCCATCCCCACTGCTCCCCGACGATCCTCCTCGATACATTCTGACGTTATATACACCACTAGAACCCGAATCCAAAACACCTCGAACATAGGCTGCGTGCTTTGCTGTATCAAAACATCGCTCAGGACTATCCTTACAAGACAGGAATATGAAGGGGACAAAATTCGTCCTTGGTGCGCATAGGATTGAGATCCACACTACCACTGCGCAGCAGCAGCATGGCTCAAGGACGCGTCCATGTTCAACCCGGTTGCACGATTCTTATCTCATGTTCTTCCTTCTTTCTCACATTTCTGCTTCTCTTCCTTTTCTGCCGTTTTTAACCCTTTCACGCATGGTGTCCACTATATTGGACGAAAAAATTGTTGGTGATGATGATGGTTGTTTAGCATATACCTCAAAACTTTTAGTGCATGCAGTCAACTCAAGGGCACATAATCTCTTCAGTGTTGCCTTCTAGCGGTGAAACATGTGGCTACTACGACAGAGTACCTCCTTAAACATTAAACCAAAAAAGGCATATTTTTATTTTGCTCGGAAAATTCATATGTGAAAGGCTTAAGATTCTGAGACCGATTATGAGTATCTTTTTAAACTTTTCATGTCCTGCAGTATCATTCATGATTGTTTTCATATTGATCGATCTAGCTTCACCAGGGGCAAGACGTGCGATACGACGAGGCGTGAGAAGTTGCTCCGAAGCCAGCGAATCAAAACGCCAGATCGGAGGGGTAAGGCCGGCCTTAGGCATGTGCCAGATGTGCCCGCGCACCGGGCGCAAATTCACCAGGGGCGCCAAATCGTACCAGAATGAATGAAGCAATAATGGATGCCACCCTCAATATTACTTGAGAAAGTGGGAATGCCTTCCGTTTCGGCGTCTTTTTGGACGCTAGGGGTTGACTTTCTCCCTTCTAAGGGAGGGGAGGGGGCGGTGTTGGAAGTCTTTTTGCACAGGGCGCCGAAATAGCTACGGCTGGCCTTGCGGAGGGAATCCAAGTTTCGCATTCCTCTTGACTGGATTTTTTTTTTCTATTTCCTAAGAATCCTCATGTGACCTACCTCTCCGTGAAACATTGCTCGTGTTTCCTCTTCGGAGTCATTGCCCGATGGATTTCGTAATTCGGACAGAAAAAAGGAGAATTTCGGTTTGAACACGGGCTCCTCTGGCTCCACATTTTTTCCCACCTTTCAGCTGTCTCATATACAACATATCCTTCAAATATGAAATATGAAAGTATAGGGTGACAAACAAAAAAAAGTCCCATCTTTTTCTACGGGGAAAAAATAAGCGTCGGATCTGCGACCACAAAATTAGATAAGGATTAAAGATTATGGCTAGGGAGGATAAGGATAATGTTTTCCAGTACCCTTATCTCGGCCATAAAACGCTTTGATACGCGATTAACGGGTAACCATTCCACCAACAGTGTGCCAGCGGTCTGTGCACTCAGAATTAAATTAAATTCAGCTAATATTCAGTTTGGGGGGAGAATTGCGTTCGGCTAAAATCGTGGGGCTCTACAGCAAACAGGGGCTTTGTTGCTAAAATACATACTTTTAAATCAGCCAATAAGGCAAAAAGAATGTTTTATTTTTGGGTCCAAAAGAGTTCCTTCAACTTCTCAATGAAGCTCAAATTCAAAATAAAATAAAATAGAAAAGATATGCTAGCAGATATAATTAGTATTTTTTGCTTTAAAGGAATATTTTCAACTCATAAGCCTTGGCTTTTAAAAACATGCTCTGGATTCATAGCCACACATTTTCAATCAATTACTACTCGAAACGATCCCTGCATCTATCGAGAAAATCACTCCCATTCCGGAAGAATTTCACCGATTCTAAAAGTCTACAAATACGTCTTGCTTGATCGACTGAAAAAAATACGGAGTTCCGTCTTCTGATCCTCTCCGATATGCATATGAGCCGAAGAGATCAACGCTCGATGCTGATCTTCGCTATATCATCTCGGAACAACAGCAGAGAGCCTCAAGGAGTCGTTCGCTGATCGCATCTCTGCTTTCAACCGTATCAGCGTCTCCTTACCCTGCGAGCATAGAAGGAGATTCCAGACTGGCTTCTTGGAGAAATCGCCAGCTGCCTCGGTGAGAATTACACGGTATGTGGATTGAGGGAAAGAACGGTGAGGCACCCTCCCCCGTAAGATAGGAGTGCTACAAGTTTCATCCCCATTTCTGTGTGCATATCCTCTACAACGATCGTCTCCGTTCGTCATATCCGAACGCTATCGTAATGCACAGCGATAGCAGCATCGATGGCTTCAGACTTGACTTGTTATGCAGCGCAAGTGCAGCGTCTCATCGTTCGGTCTGAATCCCGATCGCCAAGAGCTCGTCATTACCAAGAGAGGACTGAAAAATTCGTTCCCTCCTCAAGAATCGTCTCATAAGTGTAGAAGGTGAAGGAATCACGCCTGGGAGAATGGTCAAATACCGAAGAATAACAATCGATGAGCTCAAATGGATGAACTCGAATTCGACGAACACGTTCATTCCGCATACAAGACCTGCCAAAGCTGCACCTTTTTGGCCGTCAATCTCCTCAGGGACATTTCCAAATCCTAGCAAATCCAAATCTAAACCGCCATTTGAACATACATTCTGCGTGGCACGCAGAATGGACGAGAGAGAGCACTGCTCTCTCTCGCGGAATGGTTGCACGTGCGGGCTTCGTCTTCTGCGAATCCGAATCCTGTAAATTCACCTTTAATGCGATTCGTGAAGATTCAAGTCATCGAATTTTCCAAATGATAAACACACCGGATAACAGGTGACTCGAAACATCATGAGTCTACCTTATATTAGAATTGCAAAAATGAAATTACGAGAGTGAAATAAGTGAGTATACAATTTAAGCTGACCAAGCAGGAATCTCCGTTCCTTCTTTGGAAGTTATTTTTTTTTAATGCTTTTGACGAGTCGAAACCAGATGAATAAAATATCTTTGATCTTGACGAAATCGTAACTCCCCCGATTCTCCGCGTGGCCTGAGCCGAATCGGTGGTCGAGTGTCTGCGAATCCAAGTCACATTCAGATGCGACGATCCCCATATACAGGTAATTCTTAATTAATTCCATATTGGACAGGACCTACCGGTGCCTAATAGGCTCCAACGGGTGCTAATGATTTCACTCTCACGAAATTTTTTGGTGGAAATGGGATTGGAAGTCGCATTTCCTCGTGCTTCTTTCACGATGGATGCGAACGACAGATTCCAGTATACGCGGAGAACGAAGTTTGGGAGGAAAAGTTCTCACTTCCGTCTCCCTTCCATCTCGACAGAAAAAAAAAGTCGGAAGTAAGCAGATGCCAGGATCGCCGCGAAGACTCGCGAGGAAACGTATTTTCGGTGCCAGAATTCCCATTTTCTACTCGGGTACTGTTTCTCGCCTTCCTAAGAATTTGAAAAGAAATGAAATCAGAAATCCGGTTATGCGTCGGATCCCAGAAGCAGAGATGAGAAGTGCCGATGAAGATCGGTACGGATCGGTCAACGAGATTCCGAATTTCCCGAAGTTTCCCTTCTTTCTCTCCCAGTCCCAGTCTCAATCGCCGTGTGGTCACCGGATCGCTGCCGTCTGTCCTCTCGACGATCGCAATGCATTTTTGGTGAGTCCGACTCTGCCGCGTTTAGCCTGCATTATTGGCGAAGGCGCTTAGATCGTTTCTCACTCGTTCCGTGACTACTTTCGGAGTACAAACTGTATTTTGCATGCGTATGCGAAACGTCTTTCGTTCACATCTTAATTTAGATCTACCGATGAAAACACGAAACGGAATTTCGCTCCTTCCCGTCCTTTTCCCTCGACTTGTTTCTCCGTTTCGCCCACGAGTCAGTCGAGTCGGTTCGCTCGAGTACGACGAATCGAAAACCCGGAGTGTCTCTTCTTCGACGGCCACTCGACGTCGTGGGCCGAGATTCACGGACGAGGAATTCGTCTGCGATCTTCTCGATCGAATGAGGGACTCTCCCCGATCCACTCTCCCCGATCCACTCTCCCTCGGAGAGCAGAAAGGAAGCAGAAAGGAGGCATAGAGGAAACAGAGATCCTCTCGGTCCCCGCGATGGCATCTCTTCCTTCGTCATTCTTAAGAATCGATGAAGTTGAGAGAAAAACTCGCCACGTAACGCTTATTCCATCTTCGAAACGACAGCGCCGAACGAGCTAATTTACGCATCTTTGAACGTTTGCGACTCGTACGATCGACAAAATCGCAAATTAGATAGGTGAATTTTAATATTTCTCCGGAACGTTTCGGGGAATTGCCCATCTGGGGAATTGCCCTTCCGAAAAGGAGTCGAATCTGGACGCGAGGACGCGGAATATCGAAGGAATATCGATGGAAATTCGTTCGGCTACCTGCAGCTGATAATGGAAATCCGATGCGACGGAAGAAGTCGACCTTACAGTTATGACGCCATTTTGGTTCTTTGGAAATTCAAATGCGTTATATCGGATTGCATCGTGGAGGAAAAAATCTCACGTGTCGTCAGAAACGGTGGAGGGAAAAGAAGATATGCTCTTTCCGGGCCTAGACCAGGGACTAGACCGGGGCTAAACCGGGGGCCAGTTGCATTGCTTTCCCCTGAAAAAGAAAGACCTATCGAAAGCCCGACTCGGGAAAGTTTGGGAAATTATTAACAGGCTCCCTAAGTGAGACTTTGCATCGAATATTCGACTCATCGGAGGCAATGCAACCGGCTTCAGGCGATGGGAATACGAGACTCACGTTTTTTTTATTGTTGTCATGATGTTTGCGATATCTGTGTCGGAAGGCGGAGGAGGGAAGCGGTTTGTCTCGCGGTGGCCGCGTGGATCGGGATGTGCAGCGGGGGAGATGGCACCGAGGGAGAATCCGAGCCGAGGCTGGGCACCTTCTACTTGTCTCCAAACGGGATCGAATTCACCCTCGGAGGTAACTTCCGTTTCGCTTGTAGCAGACGACGAAATCGGGAGGGACCGGTGAGAGTCTACGGGTCGACGTTTCAGGGTACCAGATCGCGAGCGTCATGATGGACTTGGTGAGAGCGGCGGGCGTCCTGTGGACAGTCTTCTGGCTCGTCGTTCCCATCGTCGCCATCTCCTACAAGGAAGTGTTCTGCATCTTCGGGACGGGGGATTGCTTCAACCGGTACGGGATGGAGAACCCACAGCCCGAGTTCGACGAGCAATTCGTCCACGACCCCGAAAGGACCCAGGACGTGCAAGGATTCTTGGAGGAGATGCGACGGAATCCCCCGGCCT